TAATTCTCACAGAAGGCTGCGCCATTTGCTTCAATTAATGAGAAATTCTCTGAAAGTATCTGAAGTTCATCTTTTCCGCCTTGAAATAGCTTGCACAAGTGATGAAAAAAAAAAAAAAAAGAACCGACTTTCGCAAAATTTTTCATCCAATCCCATTTAATTGCTCTCGCAGACTCCCTCGCGGTTATAATTGCGAGGACACTTTACCGGTACGGGTTGATTATACGCGCTTGTTTACTCCTCGTTCTCCTTATATCTCGTGTCATAACTTTCGCTTCAATACTCCTATGTTTGCGCGTCTTTCAATCCTCTTTCCTCCGATATACTTTTTCTGGGTCTCGCGATTATTATTCTACCCCGCAGGCGTCGTATCTCTCATCATTCCCGAGGGATTTTTCTATTCCACTGAAATAAATTCCGCTTTTTCTCTTCTCTAGCATGTGCATTTTTCTCTCGTTCTCTCTCGCGAGTGCACTTTTTGTCGTGCACATCGCATAAGCACGGAAGGCCAACACGCGAGGCGATGATCCGCCGTCCCGCGCGCGTCTTCACCTTCCGCTCGATGGCACCGTCAGTGCGCGTCGCTGCATCGTCACGCTGACTGACGAGCGCGACATGGAGACATTCGATCGAAGACACCCTCGCGTGATCCTAGATCTCTTCGGTATTATGGGAACGGAAACGATCATTCCCAGGCGACTGTTCGACGGAGCAACCCCGTTAGGCAAAATGTTAATACATTGTATGCTAGCAGTGCCAAGCATATTGCGGTAGATTGATATCAATTGCGTCTGTATTAAGCCACGTATTTTGTACATTTTTTGTATTGTTTTTAGACAGCATTTAAAGGGAATATATCATTTAAATGGCTGTACTGACAGAAAAGTTTGACTATAATTGCACAATAAAATAATTGTGGTAAGAAGTTCTATTTTTATAGTTAATATTGCTATATAATGTTAGTAATAAGTGTCATACTTATAATTCTATATGTAAAAAGTATACAGTTGACCTCGGAAAAGGTAGTTATAGTTATTTTTGAAGTACACTTTGTATATAGAACTATAAATATAATTATTATTACTAACGTTATAGTAACTACTATAAAAATGGAGCTCTTAGCCTTAATTATTTTACCATGCAATTATTACAAATACCAAATACTTTTCCTTCAGCGTAAACAGCGAGATCAACACTAAAGAGAATTAACATCACCTTGACGAAACCCTGTTTATTCACATATCGAAATACCTCGCCATATTTTGCTTTCTGCTTCGGAAACGGCCTTCGGCCTACGCACTTTGTGCGACTTGATAAACATTACGTCGCAGAGTGACAGGATATCGAGGTATCCATGACTGTGTCAGTAAATCCGATAGCCATCCTATAGCCATTCCTAAAAATCCTAGATTCTTCGTACACACTCGAGGTCCCCTGTCGTTTCTCAACGAGGAAGTTTTCGCATGAGAGCAGTCGCGTTTTCGTTTATTTTAGGCAGTCGTCGATCTTTTGGTCGCTCTAGCAAAGCCTTCGATCTCCTCAGGCGACATACGTCGCATTCTTAAATCGCGTGGGTGGCGGCTGCACGAACTTGGCTGCTTAACTTAATTGCTCTAACGTCGCTAACGTTAAATGGGAAAGGTAACGGGCGGTAAAAGGTCTCGGGGCCTGCGGAAACTGCATCAAAGATCACGCCAGAATGAAGATATAGCTTGCCCAAACTGCTATTCCGATTGACGTATCTCAATCATAAGATATCCGCCCTTCGCAAACCCACTTTATTTGATCACGGATGAGTCTGGAATATTTGGCGAACAACAATCACGTTAATTAAACGGAATTTTTGTCTTGAGAAACTTTTTCTTATTTACTTTACTTCTCTGCAGAAACGTTATGTACCTTGTATATATTTTTTATTTCCTTTCTCAAGACTCATTTTCTATATTCGTTACCTATTTCATTTTTAATTTAAAGCTAACTTATCTTATCTCAGAAACTTCATTAAAAACAGTAAATGTTTATTCCTATATCAATGTAAATTAATTTTCATCTCAGTTTAAGAGAGATATCTTCTTCTGAATTAGAAAAAGATGAAAGCAAATTAAACCGACTGAATTAATTCTCGGATCTGACTACGTTTAGACGGCATCCTTTTTCGGGTTTAATAACATTCATAGTTATAAAACTGGCCGATCACTAATCCGATTAAGGATACAGTTTTCGAAGGAAATGGAACAATTGTGCATTGATAGAAATAATCTGATGTTCGATTCTGATAATGTATTAAAATGAAAAGGAAGTGCAGTTCAATATAGGAATAAAATTAAACCTAAACTGAGATTAAAAAGAGTTAATCATTCATAAAAATGAGTTCATTTAAATCCATTTTTTTCTAATATAAATTAATTTTAATCTAGGTTTGACTTACACATTTTATTTTCCTTATTCCTAAAAAATAGAAAAAGATAAAGAGTAAATTAATCTAAAATTAAAATTAATCTACATTAATAAAAATGGGTTAAAAAAATTGAAAGAGAGTAAGCAAAGAATCCTTTATATATACAAAAAAATACATACTATACGCAAATAATAATTATTTGTTCTAAATATTTTAAAAGTTCATATATTCGCAAATAACTTCATCAGAAAAATCAAATTTATTCAAAATATATTCGAAATCCTAGTAAGTTTAATATTTCAATAGATTATTAAATTAAAACAACGTCTATTTGCTTATTATATATAAAGTTGCTTCTTCGATTAATTTAATATTAATATTAAATTATTATATAATATAATTAGATAATATTCTTCAAAAGAAAATAAATTCCTATTTTGAGTACGTAATAGATTTTCCTAAAATTTGTAATCAGTTTTAAGATTATTATCAAGAAAACATTCTTTATTAAAAATAACCGTAATTTAAAAGAAAATGAATTGAGTAGTCAATTTTCTGAATAATAGAATATTTTTTTGTACAGATCTGTTTTCTATAGCTGAACTAGTACACTTTTGGAACTTAAATTAAAATAGATATATACATATGTATATGATATTTGGCGAAAGCGAGAAGGAAAGTTCTAAAGTTGTGATCAGACTAGAGATTGAAATTCAGATTGGATTGGAATTTAACCAATCAGAAGAAAGAAAACCAATCTCTGCAAGTTTTAGTGAACTTTGCTTTGATTGCTTAAATTCCAATCTAATCTCCATCTCAATTTCTAGTTCGATCACGGCCAATGAAGTCTACTATAGATATAAAAAACGAACTTTATGATGTAACAAAGTTTATCATTCACGGTATTTTAGATATCTGCCATAACAACTGTAGTAAAGCTGGCTACAGATGGCAGCATCTGTCACGCGGGTTTCCTACGACGATGCTGTCTGTTGATCATTACTCCGACGTATCAACCTTGCGAAAGATGAGCCAAATATCCCATACAAAATGCTTATTCACGTCTGACAAAAAGTCCCAGATAGTTTTGAACAGATCACAACAGTTATCTATGACGTTGAGATAACACAATGCTGTTTCCAAGGAGAGAAACGGTCTTGCAGATTGCAATGTTTACCAAATGAAGCAGTTCTGATAACGCTCCTTCCAAATGTAAATCAATCTCCCGTAAAATCACGATATGATTAATTTATTTCTTTTACCGCAATTGTTGAATAGAGGAAGAAGAAACTGAAAAGGGCAAGGACCTGTTATATAAACCTAGCTACTCGCACACCAGGAAATCTAAAAAAATTCCTTTTATGAGATACAGTTCAGTATATAATACAGCAGGAGGCTCACATTATCAATAAATCTCTCAAAATTTTGAAAAAAAATTGTGTAAACATCTTGGTAGTTAAACAAAAAAAACAAGAGAAGTTCTCGGATGTCTGTTTCCATCAATGTAAATTAATTTTAATCTCAATTCAAACTTTTTTTATGGCTCAGTTCTACTAATTTAACATTAATTTCAATTCAAATTGTTTACCTTTTTCTAATATCTATTTCTCTACCGATTCAATTCACTTTTCATCTCCTAATTCTTATAACTAGAAAAACATAAAAAATTATTGAACTAAGATTAAAGTTAAACTACATAGAAATGGACATAAATCTACTGTTTATCTTCTTCTAATTCTAATTTTAAGAATTAGAAAAACATAAACATAAATGAAACTGAAATTAAAGTTAATTTTACATGACAGAACCAGGATAATTTTTAAAACTAGGAAAAAATGAGAAGTCACTCTTGAACCAAGATTTAAGATTAAATCAAATTAGTAGAAATGGACAGGAGATGGAGATTATCTTTGGTTATGTCTTGGGGTTCGATTATGTATCATACAACTTAATCAAAATTACAAAACAGAGAAAATTCATGAGAGGGTTGATTCTGTATCTTAAAACAAGAAGAAAATGACGAAAGTGAGCAAATTCACAAGATGTGTTAACCAATAAAATTAAAAATACATAAATAATATTCCAGTAAATTCACTCACTTTTATAATTTTCACTTTGTTTCAAGATATACAATCAATCATCAAATGTTGATCCATAAAGAATGCGTCTTTCTATTCAATGACACAAGTCAACAGACATCAGTCTATCTTTCTTGACATTCCATGAATAACGAAGATAGAACGACACTTGCGTGAATTTGAATCAACAAATGGAAAAAAAACACCTAAACTTATAAACGTTCCAATCAACTTGCCCATTATTGTAATTTTCATCAAGTTGAGCGACACACATAGCACAATCGAATCCCTGGCCTCAATCACGCGTATCGCGTTATCGTTGTCTCGAGAGGCGAGGGTTCATCGCCGTGTCCTTTATACGAACATCATCCATCTCAAATCTCGGCTCTTCATTAGAAAACCTTGCGATGCTACTCTCCGAAGTGAGGAGAGTCGGGGCAATTAATCGCGACGTATATCCTTATATCGTCTTCTCTCTTTCTCTCCGCGATCAGGTTAATCGCGGTCGCGCACGACTTACGTACCCTTTCCAGCTTCTGGAAGTACTCCCGCAGGAAGGAGATCGGGTTCTCGGGCCGGCCCACGCACAGTTGCACTATACAGTCTTTCAGGACCTGTTGGATATTGTGTCTCTGCACGTATTCCTCGCACTCACGTAAGCTCTGCTCCTCCTCGAGATTCGCCGCCATATTGATGATGCACGGCGCGCCGCTTTATCGGCGATACGGCCGCCGCGGCGTCTCCCCTTGTCGAGTGCCGACCGAACGCCGCTGCTGCCAGTCGCGCGATCTCACGCTCGTAGTTTCAGGGATTCCGACGCGAAAGTATATCTACGTGACGATCTTCACTCTTCGTCGCAGCACTGAAAATCGACAATCTCAATTAGCAGGAAATGTAACGAACTGCAGGAAATTTGGATGTGACTCTTGGCAACCCAGAATTCGCGCGAAGTCTTTTGTCATTGTTTATTGGGAATCGTTGTTTATTACGAATTGATAATTTAATCAAGGTCAGTTAAAATGAAGTTAGCTCTTCAAGCCTATTTCACAGGACTTTTATTCCTTTTAAGTAAGCTCTATAAGCTCTTAAGAATCAGATAAAAGTATAAAGACTAAATTAAACCGAAATTAAAATTAAAATTAATTTTAATTGAAATAAAATTAGTTTTATTAAAAGTGAATGGCGCTCCGCGGTTACACCAATACAATTTTAATCTTGGTTCAACTTATTGCATTTACCCTTATCTAATTGTTACAATTAAAGAAAATTAAAAAGTAAGTTAAAGCAGTATAAACGAGAGTATTAGAATTATACGAAGGTAACAAAAGTAAATTGTACCGAAATTAAAATTAATCTCACATTGACGAAACCGGAACGAAATTAGGCGAAAAACCGCGCCGTTGCATCGCACCATCGTTGAACGTACAGCACAGCCGTGCCGTCGACTCGCGCGCATGCGCGCCGCGCGAATCGACTCGCGAGCGCTCGATAGATCGCGGCGGAGCCTGCCTCTCGACCAATCGCCGTCGTTTCGATCGGTCGGCCCGATCATCTCGTTTATCGCGCGTATCGCGATGGACGGCGGAGTGCTGCTGCGTGCGGCGTACTGCTGCTGCTGCTGCTGCCTACGAACGGGTGAATCTCCGCGCTGAGAGGGAGAGAGAGGTGCGTGCCCTGGTGTGTGTGGTGTATACGCGGAAGCCCAGCTTGCGGATCCGTCCGGCCGCGCCTCGTCGCCTCGCTTCGCGACGGACTTCACGGCGATTGAAGCGAAGTCGGGCGCGATCGCTCCTCGACGGTCGGTCGGTCGGTCGGTCGATCGGACGGGACGGGACGGACGATCCTTCCTTCCCCGGGGAGGAGGGGAGCCGAGCGTGAGCGCGAATAATCGGAGACTTGCGGGGAATCGAGAGAGCAGGCCTTGCTGGGCCTTGCTCTCCTCTCGCGTGTGGCGTGTGTTCTCTCTCGGCGATCCGCGAAGGTATCCTCGCGTCTGTGCGCGCGCGCGCGATCTCGTTCACGCGCCGGGATCTGAAGTTGGCCTGTCAACGAACGCGAGAGGCGGCTCGGATATACCCTCGAGGAGCTCGCTCACGAGACCTCGCGCGAGGAGGAGCGAGGAGCGACCAGCGACAACGAGTGAGAGAGAAAGAGGGACAGGATCGAGCCAGTCTCGCGAGAGGAGTGCAGCAGAGAGGAAGAAAAAGGAGGGAGGAGATACCTCCGTCGGCGACGAGATTCAGGATTTTCCTGTGAGATTTCTTCCTTGATCCCTGCATTTTTTTTTTTTTTTTTTTTTTTTTTTTTTTTTTCACGCGATCTCCGACCCCGCGCGTACAGACGGACGCGAGATCATCGCGCGCGCGCGCGCGCACATGTATGTACACACACATGCGTGCGCGCGTGTGTTTTGCGGATGAGTGTTGTATAGGGATCGCGCAGATCCTCAACTGTGTGCGTGCGCGAATGCTGCGTGAATCAGCCGTGCGACGACGATGACGGTCGATCGACGGTTTCGACCGTGCCGCTTCCTCTCGCTCACGTCGCCCGGTTGTTCCTCGCGCGAAGGATCGATACGCGTCGTAGTCTCCTTCGAGAAAAAGCGAGAGAGACGAGGAGGGAGGAGAGACTCTCCGTTGCCATTCCCAACGAAAATAGCGAACGAGTCTTCTCTCTCTGTCTCTCTCTCTTTCTGTCTCTCGCGACGATGTCCTTTGGCCGCGTTTCGCCCGGCACTTCACGTTGTCAAGTCGCGGAACAGAAAGGGGAAGGGGATCGAACATCGCAGAGGGGAAGAGGGAGACCACGTTCGATTGAGGTGGATTGAGGACGTTTCGTGTCGCGCCGGTAAGCATCAACAGAGAACGCCGAAACAGATGGATTCTCCGTCATCGGCGACGGGGATCGCGATGTCGGGCAAGCGCTTTTACAACGTCGGTCACGGGACTGTGAAGTTCGATCACGTGGTCTCCTGGGTTCTTTCGATCGCGTGGTATGTCGGTATAGCTTGTGTTTTCCTTCAGTTTGAGGTTATCCGGTTTGCGTAAGCCGTAAAGTGAAATTTGTTATCGTAGAACGATAAAATATATATAGATACTTTCACAGTCACGATCAAAGATAGAAGTACTTATGTTGTTTCCCACCACGGGGCTTGTGATCGTCTGGTTTTAATTGTTGACACTTTTTCGATGACATTTGACAAATTCTTAGGCCCAGTTTCACAACTCACGGTTTAACTGACGTTTAACTTATTCCTTGTTTCTTTCTAATTCTAGAATTGGGAGAAGATGAGAAATAAAGTTGAACCTTGGTTAACCGCGAATTATGAATATTTTTCTTTTACAAATTGTAAACTTAGATCAATATTTATATGATGAAAAAAAATACTAAATTTTAATAAATATATTTGCTTGAGTATTTCTAAATAAATATTAACTAAATGTAAACATATATTTATTTGGTACAAGAACCATTAAATTGATTTAATTACCATTTTTATTGAATAAATATTTACTGTAAGTGCATGTTTACTTATTACTATTAAGAGAAGTACCTATTAAGATTTAGTAAATTCTTTTTAGTATAGTCTGACTTAAGATCCTGAAATCGTCTTAAGTAATGTCTTAATATGCTAATACGATTCTCTGATTAGTTCATGACATCTTAAGATTGTACTTACAGTTAAATAGTTTTAAATATAGATCCAACTATAAATACCGGTCTGTGATTGGCTGATATTTTAAGACAGTCTTAAGTATAAGAAAACTAAGAATGACTCTTTAATTTCTTTATCTTGACTGATTATTGATTGTGTATTTATTGCAATCCATTTGAGATTTGTTATTTATGTAAGCTATTAAATAATTAAATGCAGAAGAGAAAAAAAAATTAATTTGTACAAGTCATACAACTTGAATAATTAAATATAAAGAAGAATAGGAAAAATGAATTAATAGAATCAGCATTAATTATCATAATCAATCAATAGCTTTACAGAAAACATTCCTTTAATGCCAATTTTATAACTAATCATACTTTTTTATGTAGTTTTATTTGACTATTTAGTTTTGATTTTACTATAATTAAACTCTTCAATTACATAGAAAATATTTATTTAAATATTTTTAATTTGCCAGTAATATTAGTTGAGTATTCAGTTATTTGCATAGCAAACATTATCATAATATTTGACGCAAATTCATTAAATGAGTAATCATTAAAATTTGTGATATTTATTCATATTACGTTGTCATTACTATATCTTAAAAAAAAAATCAGTTCCTTACGCTATAATTAGCTCAGTTAAAATCAGATTTAGCTTCGAAATTTACAGCCAGACGATCTTGAACACCTTCACTGCCACATGCATTACAATATTCACAATGATACGTGTGATGCACACAGAACTTTTATTTATGTCTTTATGTATCATTCATGATTTCAAATCATGCTATTCTTTAACCTTCCGCAGCTGACATTAAAATCACAGTAACGCACTTACTGACACTGGGTCTATAATATTCGTTTAATTTATGTTAATTAAAAAAACTAATTAATTTCAAGGCATTAAAATGACAATTTGAATAAAAACAATTCTTGGTGTTAGAGAAGTTTACGTACATCATACTTACTACGTTTAGTTTTCCAATACCAACTTAACAATTAAAAATGCAGACAACATTAATATTAATTAATAATTATTTACATTGTTATATTAAATTGATTTCTCAATAAAATGTTTAATGATTTCCAAATCAGGATAAAAATGTAAAACAATTTAAAATATTACTGAAAGTCAGAAAAAATTATGAAATTTTATCTGGAAATTAGGGAAATGTCATGGAATTTATGACAACTCTCAGTAATCCAAATTTGCAGATGTGAAATAAAAGAAAATTGCATTCTTTGACATTCTTAACAAAAAAATTATAATTAAGTGATCGAATAGATATACAACTTCGGAGAGTTTATTATGTTAAATGGCAACTGAGAAAGCCTTAAGCTTTAAACACAGTGAAAAGCTCTGGCAATAGGAACAGTAAATAAGAGATTCAAATTTGTCTGAAATCGTGTACTAAAGTTTATTCCTTTTAACTGAATTTCGTGCACAGTTCTTCTTTCCTTTCTTTTTTCTTTTTCCGAATCTTTTTCTTTCGTTGGAGAAAAAAGGGGAAAAATTGTGCAAGAAGTTCAGCTAAAAAGAACAGATCTTTTAGAATGCACGATTTTGAATGAGTTGAGAAATCATCCCTTAATGCTTTTCATTGTGTTTGAGGTTTATGGCTTTATAAGACTTACGATACAAAAAAAAAGATCCAAAAAAGTGGGGAAGGAGAAGATAGCTTATTGGCTAGCAAATTCTATGGACCGACATTAAGGGCCGGAAATCGTAATGCCAGTAGTCTCTTTTGTTTGGCGAAGGCGACATTGCGACTAGGAGACACCGGCGTACATACGTGGGAAAACGAAATTCTTCGCGCGAAACACGAACTCCTCGTGCTCATCTCTCTCTTTCTCTCTCTCTCTCTCTCTCTCACTCTCTCACTCTTATGGTTCGTTTGTCATTACAGAATTTGTTGACCTCCCACGTTCCTCTCGTCGACGGAAGAGTTTACGTTTGTCGCCACGCAGCTGTGCATAGTGTATCACGTGCATGTGTGTGCCAAAGCGAGAATAAACCAAGGAAAGCTAGACGTGGACGCTTAACGTGGATTAAGAATCAAGAAGATCAGTGAAATACGCGAGTGATCGAAAGAAAAATCGCGGGAACTTCCAGCGTGAAGACAGAAGAAAGAAAAAGAAAAACTGTTGAACAAAGAAAGGAGATCGACAAGCGGGTTAGGGATTTCTCGCGAAGTCGTCTCGGCTATGACGAGTACGGAGTGCCGCGTCGATCGAGGTTCGTTGATTGAAGCCACGGATGCCGACGCGATCGTCAACGTCATCATCCCGTTGAATGTGGAACACGATCTCGCGGTTCTTCGCTAAGGGCAGTAAGACCGCGGTGGTGCAGGAAGAAACCGCGCCACTGCCGACGGAGGAAAAGGACGAGCAGCAACAACAACCGCAGCGTGCGTGCAACGGCGTCGCCGACGACGACGCGCCCGCCGACGGTACGAGCGCCGTCCATGTGTTCTACGACGCGGCGATGGATCGCGGCGCGAGTGCAGACGATCGACGCAGGCCTGCCGCCGCTTCTGCTGCCTCAACCGGTGCTGCGGCGGCAGCATCAGTCGACCAGCAGTCCAGCGGAGGCGATTCCGATCACTTCTCCGACGCCTACGAGTCCCGTCAGGTAGGTGTTCTGCCTGTCTTATTCTCCGGCGATTGCCGAAATGGAAACAGATCCGTAGATAAACGTAGCGTTAAACAAGGATAGAGGCTTGGGAAGACTTATAACCATTTCTATCGATGTAGATTAACTTTAATCTCAGTTTGTAGCACTTTTTTAATTCTTAGAATCAGAAAATGATTACAAATAAGATATCGCGATTAAAGTTAATCTACATAGGTAGAAATGAGCATTGATTTGTCAACGTAGAGTAACATCTCGGTTTCATTCACACTCTTTATCTTTTTTTTTTAATCCTTAGAAAAAGATAAAGAATAAGTTGATCCAGATTTATCTATATTGGGAGACTTAAAATTGTATTTCATGTGGCTGGAGAATCTTTTGAAAAGAAGCACTGTAATACAATTGAATCTGGATAAAAAGCATATGAAGCACAGATATTTTAGAAATACTATATTGCAATATACCCGAGGCAATACTATAATAATAAAATGATAAACCAGTATATGTTGGGTATCATTTATCTGGAGAGAGAAGAATGTCTTTTGGAACTGAGGTCAGTCTATTGGACTCACTCAGTAAAAAATGTCAAATAATTCCATTTTTCGTGTTACATCTGTAAATTCATTTTTTCTTTTTTATAACAGTTACGTTATTTTGAGTCTCTTTGAAATTAATTAGTGCTTTTATTATAATTAATATAAATTAAATGGGTCTTACAGAACCAGCGTCAGTAACTGTTATTAGAGAGTTTGGCGTCAGCTCCGGAGGGTTAAGATGCAATAAATAGATTTTCCGTGGAATTTATATAGGGCCCGTGACAAAGATTATTTTCATCGCAGGATGTGGGACATTCGCGTTCTCCGTAGCCGCGTGTGTCCGAAGGCGTTCGTCACGTGTATTTGCGAGACGCGTGAGCTTAGAGGGGACCGTGCTCGGCAGTAAAACTATTCCCGAGCTGTGACGTTGTTGACGAATATGGCGTTCGTTTCCTGCGCGCAATGTTATTTTATTGCGCGATAAAACTTGCTGGCGTTTCACCTGTGCACATGGGACTCGCCCTTTCTTCGGACGGCGGCGTCTTCGGCGAACTGCCTCGACGAATCGCACGACTCTAATTATCTCTTTAATTGCCCCGACTGATCCCGAGCAAGATCATGCGCGTCTCGAGAGCCATTCTGATCACTCGTAAATTCACCGACATTTTTATGCGAGTTAACTCCGGTTTTCAGGGAATCGCATCGATCGTTCAGTACGGCTTCGTTTATTGACCCGTATGAAAGAGCTTTATTTCTAAGTCTGACAATGTAATCAGATTTATTTCTAATGTCGGTTTCCACACAGATATCAATGTGGATTTACTTTAATTTCGGTTTAATTTACTCTTTATCTTTTTCTAATTTTTAGAACTAGAAAGAGTAAGTTGATTTGGTAAAAAAAATTTCTGGTTGAAAAAACGAAGAAGATTCTGATCATATCATATCAATCAAAATTTTGGTGATCTCAACTAGAATTATAATAGTAGATTTAACCAGAAAATTTTGTTCATTTTTTTATCTAGAATTCTAATTAATATAATCAGACTCTTTCCAGTGTGGATATCTCTTTTTAATATCTTATGGTTTTACAGAATAAGATTTGTTATAATTTATCATTTTTCCCTTTACTCAAAATATGGCACTATTTCAGTGCTACTGTATTAGTTTTCCCGTACTGTAAAAGTTAAAGTTAATTTATATTGATGGAAACGGACATAAGACTATTATTTCTAGATTTCCTTTAATGGAACTTTATTTCCAAGCCTCTACGTCTTTTTTAATGGAACATATCTACATATATCTTTATATAAGAGATTTTTTCCACTTTTTATTTTTATAAAATCGTGTTTCTACTATGCAAAGAAATTATATTCTATACATTAGTATTTACTTTGCATTTAAAATTTTTCGATCAAGATTGCGCGGGATATCATCAAATTCGCGCCTTTTGCGCGGATCACGTAGGTAATACTTCACTGTCGCACGATTTAATGTTCTTTTTGACCCGTACCGTTAACTCTGATGGCAGACGGTCTGCGCAATCCGTACCGATGAACAATCGATATCTGGCCCTGCGAGCGGCCTCGTTATCGACGATCTCGTTTGGCACACGTTCAACGAGTATCATTTGTTCTGGCTTCTCAAGCAAAAATGTGTTGTTAAAAGCGTTGTAAAAAAAGCTACTAAGGAAATATCTAAGCTATACACTTGTCGGATAAAATCTATTAAGTCAATTTCTATAAACGTTATATATGAAATATACATTCTAGGACTACACTCCAAAATGTCCTCGAGAGGAAAATTTTACTTGATATAAAATAATACATGCTACGTGTACTATTTTGAGTAAAATTTTCCTCAGAGACATTTTGGAATGTAGCTTAGAAAAATACACGTATGAATTTAATATCCATACTAAGAAAAAAATACTAAATTTTAATATTTATTTAAATAGTGTCAACTAAAAATTTACTTACAGTAAATAAATATTTACTCAATAAAAATGATAGTTAAATTAACGGTTCTTATGCCAAATAATATCTTCACGTTTAATTGGTACTATTCAAATAAATAATTTAATAAAATTTAGTATACTCTTTACCAGTGCAACATGGTGTGGATTTAAACAACGCGGTAAAAATTATATAAACATTGCATGGCTTTAAATCTACAGCCATAAAATATTTTTTGGTGTAGTTTCTATAAATAGTGTGTGTGTATATACATATATACACATGTATAATGTTGATCGTAGCAATCTAGCTGCTTCAAAGGACCAACCAGCAGGCAAAGAGGAATTTACTGCATTAACGCACTATGCCGCATAAACTGGTTTCCTTTTCTCGTTTCTGGAAAGCAAGGTCGTTCCTGTTGCGTGCAAGCGATCTTTATTCATACCGGAATTTTTTACTTATTTTTGAAGCCATCGACGTTACGATCTGAGGGAGACCTCCTGATCTCGCGTACGATCGTTCTGAAAGTAAACGCATCGGCGGTGGTGCGTTTTTGCCCACGTTGCTACGTGGTAGGAAAAAAAGAGTGATCTTATCGCGCGTGCTCTTCGAGTGCGATCTCGTCTCGATTGTTTCCGTCGATTAATGTACTGGAAACTAAGCGCCTAATTTAAGGCGTGTCGTTGGGACTCTCCTCCTTTTCTAACGCCAGGAGCGGACGAGTATTCCTCACCGTAACAGGCGGTGCAATTATCAAACGTGCATCAAGGCACGCTGCAACACGCGCATGTGCGCGGAGCCGTGCAATTAGCCGCCGTGGTTTCTTGCCCATTACACGTTCCGATTTCTACGTCTTTTCAATCTTTGAAACGTTCACGAAAACCTGGATTAGCTTCAGTTTTTGCATATTACGATCGCGTCCAATTATTGTTGTAAAAATTTATCTCCATACATTTTTCTAAACTAATCTCAGAATTTAAGAAAGTCTTATTTGAAGAAAGTCAAATAAATGTTTTCAACGATATTATCAAACGTATGAATTTCTCTTGTCTCTTTCTCTCTTTCTATTCGTTTTGTAAGTGGATGTGACGTGACGTAATAATAAAATTGTAGATATTGTCTTTCAAAAAAGAAAAACTTTTTGTTCATCCTGTAAATGGATATGTAAGTGAAATTATAAATTTCTTGTCTCTCTGAACAGAAGAAATTATAATTCATGTGAAGAAATGATAATACCTGTTTTAATATAATATCAAACAGTCTATGAGTGTGGAAAATGATTTTCTCTACTTCTGTCTCGACTTCTGTTTAAAGTTTACAAATAATTTTGAATAATTAAATTTGTTGTATCAAATTTTTGAGTTCAAGGTATAAACTTAATTTGAAATATTAAAAAAATTTTATCATCACCACTCAATTCTTAGTAATAATCGTGTTACATACTTTCATCCTAGTAACGCCAGATTTGATGTCGATGCACCCGGTGCGCCACTGATCTTGAAATATCGATTAATCGACCGATTCAGATCGTGTTCAGTCACGACGACTTTATCTGAAACACCTGCATTCGCCTTCTGGACGACAAGAGAAAGACGAGGTCTCGCTACGTGCCTTGACGGCTCCTTTTAGAGTAATTACGACGACCATGACACATACTCGGAAACGATTAATATCACGAACATAGCGAGTGCGTGGTAGAGCCTCACTTATGCCGCGCATTCTGCACGTAAGCTAACTTTAGCTAGGTATATAGATACACATTACTGTTATTAACAATTTGTTTTTACTCCCTCCGTCTTCTTTTTTAGGACAAGCCTAAGGTGGATGTAAAAACTAATTCTTGCCCAAACAGGTGTGAAAAAGAAATAGCGTGTTTTTGTAGATTTTATTCTGGGATATGATAAAGTTATTAAAAAGTTTGTAGCGTTGGGAAAATACCTCGAAAATTGAGCGAGAACATTGAAACTTAGATAAACAGACCATGTTCATGCTTAATTCGAGATGATCTTCAAATGTTGCGAACTTTTTAATAATTTTATTGTGTCCAGGAGGTAAAAATCTATAAAAACAGGAAGTATTATTTCTTTTATATATTTTTTTGAGTAAAAATTAGCTTTATTTTTTTAACATTCTCTTTTCAGTCTTAAATTTTTCTGAGTCAAAGGAGAGTGAAGTTTGGTTCTTTTATTGCTATAAATCTTATTGCTATATTATTACATTTTTTACACAAATTTTCATTATTCAATTATATTGTAATTTTTGCTCAAATTTCAATTTCTGTTAAATTAAGATTTTAACGTTTAAATTAGAAGATTCAGATAAAGGTATCAGCTCATTTTGCTTTAGAAATATTTGCTAATTGTGAAGCTATTAGCATTTCTATTCTTATTTCAATATTTAACAATTGTCCTTATCGTAAGGAAAAGCTGTGTTTTGCTGCTGGTGCACCGTGCATTTTACATAATAACAACACGTTATACCATGCTCGAACAGGCGCCTTTTGAAAAGCATT